AAAAACATTCTACAACTATCTATTCCACAGCTCATTACAACACGCATTTTCTATGTCATTTAAATCTCAAACGAGGTCATAAACCATGTATTTTAATTAATACAAAGATCTAGAAGAATGTTGAAATAGTTTTTAATGAAATATAGCATGTCACACTGAAGAACATTGCCTTCACTGCCTGAAATACCATGTCAACAACTACTTAAAAATGCACATGTAAAAATAAATAACATTAAATGGGAAATGTAATAAGGAGAAGAGAGTTAAAAGAGAAAATACTGTTTCAAAGGAAACATAATTGACTTTAATAATTTCATCATAGATCTTGGTTGTTCAAAGTAAATAAAGCTTGTAGCCATTCATATTTATACATTTCACTGAAATGATTTTATCACATTTTTGTTCATCAAATGAAATAGTGCATTAAGTAATTTGCAACATTAAATAAGAATTCATTTTTTTATATAGTCAATGATCATTTATGTCTCATTTTAATGGGAAATATTGCCTCCTTTTAACATAAATCTCTTTTGTTGTGTTGTGTTAGTTACAAAACTAGCACTAAAAACCCTTCTAATTCTGTGTGTTTTTATTCTTCTTTCCTGAATATTCTTGTCTTTTCCTTTTATAATGATGACCACCTCCTCCCTCACTGCGTCTGGTGAAGCTGGGCATCGGTGGCTCGATCTCTCCTGGACGCCCCCCTCTGTCCGGCACGCTGCCCATCAGTACCTGCAGAAACAAATGTTGTGTATAAATCCTTATTAAATCTTATGCAAATTGCCACACTGAATTTATTATTAGAAGCAGAACTTTGAAGAACGGCACCTTGTGAACTGCTGTTGAAGGCCCTGCTTTAACTGGCCTAATGCGAGACTCGTCCTCCCTTATAGCCAACAGCTTAGCAATGGAGACGGAGGACTCAAGAGAAGGTGTACAGGGTGACATGGAAGAAAGCAAAGCACTGCGTTCCTTGAAAGAAAATAGAGAGAATTTGCTCAGTGAAACCTAATACAAAATACATGCTTGAAGGTTTGCAAAAGAGACAATCTTAGTACCTTTCCCCTCTCTCCCCAAGTAAAGGATTGTAGTGTGACATGGAAACGCTTGATCATCATTTGGCGCCGACATTCATAATCCTTACAGAGAGCTCTGTTGATGTCATTAATCTTTTTCTAAGAGTGAAAAAAATAACTGTGAAAATATTTGTCCTGGAATAGAATATAAAAGGTCAGTGTGACTCTGACACAGTTCTACTATTTAAATAGGGAAGTCGTGGCCTAATGGTTAGAGAGTCAGACTTGTAACCCAAAGGTTGTGGGTTCGAGTCTCGTACCGGCAGGGATTGTAGGTGGGGGGAGTGAATGTACAGCACTCTCTTCCACCTTCAATACCACGACTGAGGTGCCCTTGAGCAAGGCACCGAACCCCCAACTGCTCCCCGGGCGCCTCAGCAAAACAATGGCTGCCCACTGCTCCGGGTGTGTGTTCACTGCTGTGCGTGTGCACTTTGGATGGGTTAAATGCAGAGCACTAATTCCAAGTATGGGTCACCATACTTGGCCACATGTCATGTCACTTTCACTTTCACTAAATACTAGACAAACAATGTTTTGGCCCTTTCTGTGTTTGTCAGGCAGTCAAAAAAATTACAACTTTAAAATATTTAGAAGAATAGTTCACCCAAAAATTATAATTTGCTTAAAAAGTAATCACCTTCAGGCCATCCAAAATGTAGATGAGTTGTCATCAGAACAGATTTAGAGAAATTTTGCATTGCATCACTTGCTCACCAATGGATTCTCTGCAGTGAATGAGTGCAGACAGAATGAGAGTCCAAACATCTGATAAAAACATCACAGTAATCCACACAACTCCAGTCCATCAAATAATGTTGTGTGATCCGAAAAGCTGTTTTTGTAATAAACAAACCATCATTATGATGTTTTTAACATCAATCCATTGCTTATGACTAAAATAGAGTAAAAAAGCCATCTTGCCTGAATCAGAAGAGATAGCACCATTTACAAGTGAAAACAGTTCTAAACATTATATGTCTGTGGATTTTGATGTGAGAGGACAACAGGGGATGGACTTTTTCATTAGAGGAAGAATTATTATGGATTATGGACTGGTATGGACCAGATGCAAAGGTTCAAAGTTAAAACGCCTTAATGAGGGACTTGTTTCTTGCAAACATGCAGCTTTTCACTTCACAAGACATTAATTGAAGGATTGGAGTCGTGTGGTTTACTTGTGGATTATTGTGATGTTTTTATTAGCTCTTTGGACTCTCATTCTGACGGCACCCATTCACTGCAGAGGATCCACTGGTGAGCAAGTGATGTAATGCTAAATTTCTCCAAATCTGTTCCGATGAAAAAACAAACTCATCTACATCTTGAGTGTGAGTACATTTTTAGCAATTTTTCACTTTTGGGTGAACAATTCCTTTACATAAATACACCTGAGTAGGCATAAACAACAAACAACACAGCAATTATAAATAAAAATAATGAATTAGGGCTGCACGATAAATCGCATGCGATATTTAATGCGCATCTTGTCAGTAAAGCCGGTTCTGTAATCAGCGGTAAATCTCCGTGCGTGCTTTCACATTGAGCAGCATTAACTACACAGAGCCGTTGTTCACTGACTAGCCCAACAAAACCACGTTCATATTCGCGCGATTTTTTGCGCAGCTCATCAGTGAACAACGGCTCTGTGTAGTTAATGCTGCTCAATGTGAAAGCACGCACGTGATGGAGATTTACCGCTGATTACAGAACCGGCTTTACTGATAAGATGCGCATTAAATATCGCATGCGATTTATCGTGCAGCTCTATAATGAATCAATATAAATCAACCATTTTTGGTCATGCTCCTGCTCTAAAGTTTTTTTGTTTGTTTGTTTTTTTCGGATGTGCACATACCATTTCACTTTAATACATACCCATTGCTCAGAGTTCAGACTGGACTTCAATAATGCTTCTGGCACTTCACCTTCTGGAAGTGATGTCAGCCGTGACTCCACCTGAATAAATGACGCATATGTTAGACATCACCAAAAAAATAAAAATAAAAATGTTAAATTACTAATAATTACTAGTCCTTCACTGGTGATGTTTCTTACCTCTGCACAGGCATCACTTATCTGAGAGGATGTTTCTAAGCCAAGAGTCTGAAAGAGTTCTGCTAGATCTTTATTTACTTCTTTCAAATTAGTTTTATCCTCTCGTGCTGGACTGATTTCCTGTTGCTCATCATTAAGACTTTCCCATTTTCTTTGCTTTTTGCCCTTTGACTCAGAACTCTCTTCTGTATCTTCTGGATGACTCTCTCTGTACATCAGCACGCGTGTTGCCGCCAACTCTGACACCAAATACTCTGTAAATTGAGTGAAAATATGTACAGTAACACTTCACAGAAAAACCTAAAAATGCACTGACTGACATTATCTATCACCTCCCTACCTTACCGGTCACTCTGAACAACAGAAGTGGGCTAAGGTGCTCTGATGTAAGTGCATTTTGAGGACAGGACATCTCCTTCAGCACTTCCCTCAACTCCCCGACCAGAACTGCACCACCAACATGCCGTGCTGAAGCACAGTTACATTTTATCCATGATAATAATACAAAAAGATGGTTAAACTAAAGTTGTGCAAAATGTTGTTTTATAGGCAGGATTGTAGTTGTATCCCAGGCCTAGAATTAAAGCTAAATATAAATAATTAGATTTAAAAGTCTATTCATGAAAATAATTTATCATATTTTAAATATGATACATTGAAATACCTTATTTACTCATCACGAACGACTAAAAAGCGATGGAAATTCGTTAGTGAATACAGAAGTGTGAAATAGGTCTCGGTTGGGTTACCTGGAATATCAGGACAACTTGCTCTTAGTTCTGAGATCAACCAGGTGAGCAGCGGGCAAGGTAATTCATCACATTTACATTCCTTCAAGCACTCTCTGCTTTTATACCTATGAAATATTAAAACAGCCCTGAGTGTAATTACCTTGAAAACAAAACAAAGTTTTAAAATTGCTGTTTATTTCAGCGTTACTCACCCAAGAGCTTTAATTAAAGTGATTGCAGAAGTATCTCTCTCCATTGTAACAATTACACAGGATATGCCGTGAGTTCTGTACTTCCTTATTCAACATCAATGGCTGTTGTAAACAAGGCAGAAGTCAAGAAGAAGTCAAGCTCTGCCGATAACCGATTGCAAGGCAAGATTAATCGATCGCAATTGATCGAAACAATTCAATCGTCCTAATCACCGAACGGACAGATTCCTTTGGTTCTAAACTGATCAGGTATTGTACAAATGTTGCACAAACACTCAAGACAGACACTGATCTTGACGCATTGATCTTTCAGTGTCTCGACTGTTTTTCCCCCTTGCAAATGAATAAATACATACTGATAAAATAAAACGTAAATTACTAAGTAATATACATTAAATACAAGTAGCCTACTTTATTATATTATTATATATAAATATATTATTTATATAACCTTTTTAATAATAATAATAATAGTAATAATTAATTCGTAAATTAATTCGTAATAATTAATTTCAAAAAATAAAATATCTGACAAAAAATGTTTTGAAAAAAAAAATATTGTGCATTAATATGAGCACTTATCCCAGTTTATAATTGACTACTGTGTTATCGAGAAATTAAATAATACTAATTATTAATAGTTTTGCTTATTAGGGAGGAAAGTGTTGCATGGTTATTTTAACTTGGACAAAACAAAATGTATTTAATTCAACTTTTTATTTAGGTCAAACAAGCTTTAACCAATATTCCTTTTCTAACTATAAATCAATTACCTGTATACGTTAAACTATATTTAAGTTGCTGTATTTGACACGTTTACGTTGTTTTTATATGAACATTAAAAAGGCTGCGTATGACTTCTATTATTGGCTCCAGCGTCATAGACAGACAGCAGCTTCAGCCAATCAGCTGCAGGGACCGAGAGCGCGCGGACCGTCGCCGCGCGGAGGAAGTAGGCAGCCACGGTCACCCTCCATCTTCGAAAACATCGTAAGGACTATTCGCTTGAGGGGGAAACTGACAGATAAAGGTAAATATTTTGTTTTCTGAGCACACGAGGTAGTATATATGTTCAGTTATTGATTTAAACTGATATTTGATTATTTTAGAGTATGCATGTGAGGCGGGTGGATTTTGCGCGCAAAATAACGTTACTTGACTCCATAGTTCGCTGGAATGCTAACTGTGGATACAACGAAACACGCCAATAGATTGTTTTGACCCGTAAACGAATGGATTTTGGTCTATGCATGTTGTTGTAGTTCATGTACTAAAGCGGAAATACCCTTCCAAATGAAGTGAAAGTGTCTTTTAGCTACAAAGACCTTTGCCTCAGTCAGCCAGTTAGCTTGCAGGCTAATATTTTAGCGAGTGTGGAGATGATCCGCCGAGCGCGTACAGTAACCAATCAATGACTCCCGTGTGTTTACTCTGACTGTACAGCCGCACAGTTTGGAATAAACTGCTGTAGGGGTGCATGCATCATGAGCGGGCTTAATGTCAAAAAGCTCAAAGTCAATGAGCTGAAAGAAGAGCTCCAGCGGCGAGGCCTGGACACTCGCGGGCTGAAGGCGGATCTGGCGGACAGATTGCAGGCGGCACTGGAGGCCGAGGCGGCTGGGTCTGCGCCATCGGACGAGCAGGAACAAGACTATGAGGCTGGCGGGGAGCCGGGAGAGGGCAATGATTATCAGGAGGAAGGTAAAGTGTGTTTTTACGTATGTGTTTTGACTTGGTTACATTCTGAAGCTGTAATGCAGGCTGTGTTGTTGCGAATGGGGATGTGCTTCACAGAGATTAGGAGAGATTATTTATTAGGGTCGCCTGGCAACGTGTCAGACCACCATAGGGGGACCCCTTTTGATGTAGGACATCCATCTGGGAAATACAAGAAGGGGCATGATCTAATAAGTGCTTCCATTGTCGTGGAAAACTTAACATTTTGTCATTTTACAACTGGAAAAATCTGGTGGCATGAAAAAAATCAGTAAGAAATTAATAGAATCTTATAAGTCATGGATATATTGTGGAAATTTCACAGAGTATTTTTATACATGTACTAACTATAGTAATAACTAGCAATTAACACTAATTCCAAATATTACATTATATATAAAGTACATGTTGTTAGTTAATATTTGTCAGTAATTATTTGTGCAATTACACTGTAATAAGCATACCCTAAATCTTTACATTTGTATGTGTACATTTATTTAAACAACTAAAAAATTTTTCCTATACTTCTATTCAGTATATTGTACATTATTTAATTCTGTTTTTTCTTATATTAGTGTTATATTCCATCCCTACTGTGTTATTCCTATGTATGTCTGCACTATGTCTGTACTTTCTTCTGCACTGGAAGCTCCTGTCGTCAAGTCAAATTCCTTGTGTGTGTGTGTAAATACTTGGTAATAAAGCTCTTCTGATTCTAAAATAAAGTGTAACCATTGCAGCATTGACATTAATGCAAAAAAATTATTTGTGATTTCCTGGCATGGAAAAAAAACTTTTACTTAAAAAAAAAAAAAAGAAAGAAAGACAAAGAAAATAATGCTTGTGAATTAGAAATTACAAAATATCACGAATAAGCCATGGATGTTTAAAAAAAAAAAATAGTTGTTTTGGAATTGCTTTTTTTTTTTTGCATAATATGTACAAATTTGTATAAAAAAAAAAAATATATATATATATATATATCTGTATAATATTGTGAAAGACTTTTCCGTTTTTGACTGGTTTGTGATTGGGTATTTGTTTAAATGAACAAACAGGTTTTGAGCTGCTACTGGCCTCCATCTGAGCCATCAAAGAAGGCAAAAAATGGAGAACTGCCAGATAAGAACACTTGATATATATATATATATATATATATATATATATGATTAGAAAATTGTATTTGAGTAATCAAAAATGACTGGAAGAGTCATGGAAATTGGTTCTAGACATTAATGCAACAAGATATGTTTACTCTGCTTAATTTCTACACAGAATTTGCAGCCAGGAAGCGAGATTATGGAGAAGAGGACAAGGCACAGTTTGATGATGGAAACAGCACAGACCTCTACCAGGGTGGATTTGATGATCAGGGAACCGAGAGTAACGAAGGCAATGAGGACAGCACCGAGACCCCCATCCCTGGTTTTGAAACAAGTGATTATTCATCAGACGCGATGTCAGGAAAGATGAAAGAGCATTACTCCTATGACCAGGATGAATACCAGGAGCCTGGGGCCAAGCAGTCGTACCATGAGGAACCAGCCAGGCAGCACTATAAGCAGGATGAGGTGAAGGAGGAGTATGAGGAGACTCCTTTACGTGCGGAGCCACAGGGGGAGCAGAAGTTTGACGAGCCAGCGTCACGGCAGATCCCAGAGGGAGACTCAAGTCAAAGCAGCCAGCAGGAAGAATCTGGTAAGTCTGGTCAAGTGTATAAACCACAAAGGGTGACAACCCTCTACATGCGAGTAAATCACTCGCATATGCGACTAAATCTTCACTCTGGGTGACTAAATGATGTCTAACATTAGCCATTGGCTAATAAATTCTTAGATTTTACTCGCCAGTGTGTGAGTTGGAGGCCAAGTATAAGTTTAGCACAGATATATTTTCACTTGCTTAACACTCTGACTGAGCGCTTCAGAGTTTCGCTCTCCATCAAGAGATCTGTGCTATTTTTCAATTCAGCTCAATGGATGCGCAGCGTACCTGTATTTGCCGTACCATAAACTCAAGTGTGAAGGCACACGACTCACTGTCGCTTTGCTGAGAGCACTGTTTCTCACACACACGCAAAAAAAGAGCGAGCGAGAGAGTCTTACATACCATGCAGAATTGACGCGCTACATGTAAACGATATGCTTTGTTGTATTTTCTTGTCAAAATAAGTTCATTTGGAATTCTTCAGTGTTTAAGAACAGCCATAAGATAATGCCGGTTTCTCCAGTAGTGGGCGGAACAAATGCGCAAACGGCAATCTCATTGGCTGGTGCTCACCTATTATCTTCCCTGTTTTGATTTTTAGCAAATCAGTTCCCAGCGCATGCAGATAACATGATTAATATTCATGAACCCAGCAGCTCATTAATCCTTAGTGCGTTTTATATTGTTATTAGTAGTAGAATTCGTATTATTATTATCTTATCAGTGTTATTGTTAGTTTTCCCCCCTTTTTTTACAGAAACTAACCACACACAGTCCAACCTGATCAAAAGCAATATGTGCAAGTTTAACGCTACATTAGATGTATTTATAAAATGTCATGTAGCTTAACATATATTTATCCAAATGTTTTCAGAGAGTTATGAGGTGAAGACTGAGAATAAGGCCAATGAGGATGTTCCACAGCAGGCTGAGCAGGTCAGTGACTGGGACACACAGGCCAAATCAGAGGATGATAGATGCTCATCGTACAGCCGCAAGAGGTCATATGATGATAGTCGAGGATATGGTTACTATGAACATCGTGAGGAAAGGAGGTAAGTTAGGTCTCCTTGGGTTTACTTTGTTTTTTGTATTGCTCAATCTCATAGTTCTCTTTGGTTGTTTTAGGGGAAGGTCACCACAGCCCCCAGCTGAAGAAGAAGAGGAAGACATTGATGAAAAACTTGTGGTCATTGACACCTGTGAGTATAATTAAGGAGAGATTAGTATATCCTGGTTAACATGTAGTATTAATGGGTCGTGTTTAGTCACTATTTTTACTTATTTTATGTATGACAACAGAAACAAAATATGTAAATGGGAACAGCTATTCAGTTGTATTACAGTATGTGACAGTTCAGAGAGTAGAACAGATCTGAAGTGCCAAAACTTGTCTGAACGCAAACACGATGCAATGATGTCATAAATATGCTAACACGTCACCTGCCGCAACAAGTCTCACAAAATCCTGTGGGAAAAACTGTATTGTCCCATCCTAGGTGGGAAGTCAAATTGCGTTCTTCACACAGAATTTCCACACGTGCAGTGGTTTCACTTATGTGCCGAACCGAAAGCCCCGTACCAAAATAGTTCCATTGCACCCCAATTTGGAGTGCTGTATTTTCATTAGGGATGCACCATGTACTTATACTCATTCTCATTAAATTCTCCGATACCACACAGCATGTTCACAGTGTCTGTGTCCACACAAAGAAACACTGAACAAAACAGACAGAGAGCAGAATGAACATATTCGAGATAATGGATGTCTATGATGTAAATGTATCTAATTATTCACCGTTTTATTCACATTACAGAATAGTACATTACAGAATTGCTTCTTGTTTGTTTGTCTCTAGATAACTGTGACCTGCACTTCAAGGTGGCTCGTGACAGATACAGCGGATACCCTCTGACCATTGAGGGTTTTGCCTTGCTGTGGGCAGGTGCTCGAGCCACTTATGGTGTTACCAAAGGACGTGTGTGCTTTGAAATGAAGGTAACAAAGATGCTATTTAGTGTTTGATGCCATGTTTGATTGCATGAGATAGGTCACAAAGATCTTTATTGTCCTGTTCCTTGTTTAGATAAATGAGGAAATTTCAGTAAAGCACCTTCCTACCACTGAGCCTGACCCTCATGTGGTGAGAATCGGATGGTCCCTGGATTCTTGCAACACTCAACTTGGTAAATGACCAGACTTACCATTACCCTGCTTCAAAGTATTTTTGACACCTGATGCATTTTTCTTTAGTAAGATTAATCAAGGTTTGTGTTCTATGCTGCATTAACATTGTAGTTTAAGAGCTTGTTCCTTCGTATTACAGGTGAAGAACCCTTCTCTTTCGGCTATGGAGGAACTGGCAAGAAATCCTCCAACTGTAAATTTGAGGACTATGGGGAAAAGTTCCGTGAAAATGATATCATCGGCTGCTGTATTGTAATTATATTTTTCTCTCATACTTCTAGATTAGATTACACACAATGCATCTTAATATGGGCTCAGAGACTGTATTTTTAACCATATCTCTTTATTTTTTTCCACTCGGATTGTTTTCCATAGGACTTTGAGAGCAGTGAGGAAGTAGAAATGGCGTTCTCCAAGAATGGCAAGTGTTTGGGCCCATGTTTCCGTGTCTCTCGAGAGGAACTGGCCGGGCGTGCTCTTTTCCCACACGTGTTGGTGAAGAACTGTGCTGTGGAATTCAACTTTGGACAGAGAGAGGAGGCCTTTTTCCCTCAGCCGGAGGGCTTCACCTTCATTCATGATATTCACCTAGAGGACAGAGTCAGAGGGACACTGGGACCGGCCACTAAAGCTGAATGCGAGGTTTGATGTGGAAATTAACTTTTAAGAATAAAAATCATTATGTATTGCAGTCTCATCAACAAGGATTTTATAATGAAAAAGAATTGTGTTTTTGAATTTTCAGCTGTGGCTGAATTTTATGCATCTATAATGTAATTCCATGGAGAGTAATAATTTATAAACATTTGTTGGAAAGTGATGCCATTATTTAATGTCTTTAAAGGGGTCCTATTATGCTTTTTCACTTTTTCAACTTTAGCTAGTCTGTAATGTTGCTGTTTGAGCATAAAAAAGATCTGCAAAGTTACAAAGCTCAAAGTCCACTTCAAAAGGAGATATTTTATTTAACAGAAATCACTTTTCAAAAACTACAACGAACGACTCGTTTGGACTGCAACGCATATTTTCCGGGATTTGTGATATCACAAATACCGACGAATGGGACGAGACCTGGTTGAGCTGCACTAGAGAAGGCAATGAGTGTTATCACTATGTCGGAGACGCGCTAGCTTTCCCAAGGCAGACAAACTTAGAGTGGTTACAATCATCCAGGTTTAAATCGCGCTCAAATTGATTTGATTTTGACGCAATATTTACACTGAAGCTCGCAGGTGGCTATGGTAAGGGGCGTGTCATTTCCCGACCAGGTGCCGAGTGGTGCCAATCACAGCACACACTGGCCCAGCTAACCAATCACAGTACATTTCGTATTTCAGAAGGCGGGCCTTCATTTGATACAGGAACTATTTGAGCCGTTTATGCCAGACTGGGGAGAGAGGTGTTGTAATAATGTAAAATATGTGAAAAATAATGTGTTTTCCAATAACCTAGTATGAGAGCCTGTTCTAGTACACCCCCAAAACAAAATCAAGACTTTGTAAAAGAGCATAATAGGACCCCTTTAAAATTGCCTACTTATTGCAATGTGCCAAAAGACTGTAGATAGGCTGGACAATTAATTCTTGTCAACAAGACCTCATCTGTATTAACCAGCTATGTAATTATAGCATGTGTAATACGTAACAGTAAATCAAATGTTTACATTTAAAAAGATGTAAAAAGATTTGTACATGATCAGTGGACAGAAGATATTGGTGATACCTAGTATGTAGGGTTGTGATGGTGAGGAAATTTTCCCACCGGTTAATCGACGTGTGACAACACCAGTAATACCGGTATCACCGGGGGGTGGGGTTCGTTGGCATTTTCCATGTTTTCCTCATTTTCCTTTGCTTTTAAATAGCTTATAAATGTCCGTGTGCATTTTACTTTCACTTTCGAATTAGCACAGCATACATACACCTTGATATAAAATAAATTAATTACACAAAGTTTAAATACAGTAAAAATCAGCAAACACTGGAACCAAAAAAATAAGAAATGAATGTTTAAAAAAGAAAAAAAAACGTACAAAATCACCTTAGATAAATGACAAAAGTCAACAGCTTTTTCAAAATCCAAAATATTGCCAAACAGGCGCTTTTGCATTTAGTTTTGAAACTAAATCGTAATCTTTAATTGTAGTGTCTGTTCTCTAACTGAACTAAATGATTTTTATTGCTATAAAAAATCTAAACGGCGGTGGGCAAGTGACATAACCGGTGTTAAAGGGTTAGTTCACCCAAAAATGAAAATTCTGTCATTAATTACTCACCCTCATGTCGTTCCACACCCCTAAGACCTTCGTTCATCTTCAGAACACAAATTAAGATATTTTTGATCAAATCCGATGGCTCAGAGAAGCCTCCATTGACAGCAACGCCACCCAAACTCTCAAGATCCATAAAGGTACTAAAGAGATCGTTAAAACAGTTGACGTGATTACAGTGGTTCTACAATTATTTTATGAAGCGACGAGAATACTTTTTGTGCGCAAAAACAAAACAAAAATAACTTTATTCAGCAATCTCTTCTCTTCCCTGTCATTATCCTTATGCGGTTAACGCAGTAAGCACAGTGAAGGCTTCCGTGTTCTACGTCCGAACGCCGGCTCATTATTGGTCGAAGCTGCACATGTGAGGAGCGCGACGCATGCGTGTGATGCTGATGCAGGAGCC